TTCAGAGCGTGTTCAATTCTCTCCATATTATACCTTCTTACATCGCATACCTTACACCTATTATTTAACTTCGAAAGCTCTTTTAGTTCTATTTTGTCTGTTGTACTTGAGATTTTCATTTATTTTATTTATTTATTGATTCCTCAAAGGTCCCATAGGGACATTACATGAGGACATTACATGATTTGACGCTTATTAATGAGATTCTTCGTTTCCTGGGAAAGCTTGCCAGCGTCCTGTCTAACTACCGTGCCTCCAACTTCCACTGCACACTCCGTGATGATCCTCGTCAGATTATCATTCATTGTATCTATGCTAATGTTGGTATCCTCAATAAGAGCCGAGTACTTGTTCTGAAGCGAGACTATGAATTCTTGTACTATCCCTCTCTGTGTTAGAGCATTGATTGGCTTCTTGCGTATCAGTCTCTGTTGTTCCTTCTTCATGTCTAGGTGAATTCGAGACCGTATCATTCTAGGTCACTGCATCGTACCTTGCCAACCACTTCCACATCCTGCACGATGCCTGGGTGTGCACTCGTTATAAAGTCTATTTCGTTCTTATTTTTGCCGTTAGGGCTCATCCATGTCTATTTACGGTTTCCTCGTTTTTGGTAGAAGGTATTCAAAATCTGTAAATTATTGCGTTCTGCGAATTCTACTAGTAGCTCTCCTCTGGTATTTCTAGTACCCATGCCATAATCTCCTACTGCCTGATCACCAGCCTGCTTCTTCCCTACCTTTGCATTAAAGTCTCCCACCAGTATAGTATACTGTGTTTCTACCTTACTATTTGCCGATTCCACGCTTCATAGAAGCTTTCAACTGAAGCATCATCATGGCTGGATGTAGGCGCGTAGGCCTGTACCACCTTCATCTTGTATCTCTTATTAACTTGAATTACAATTCCTGCCTCCCTTTTATTAATGCTATATTATTCTTGTATGTTGACAGCTATGTTTCTGTGATTTAGGAGCCCCACTTCAAGTTCTCTTCTGTCAGCCAAGCCCCCGATAGCAAAGAACGTGCCTATTCTGTAGCATCGTATAGGCCTCATCTGTCGTCCTAACCACGCTGAGCCCTATTATATCCCATTTAACACCCTCTAGCTCCTCGAATAGTACAGCTAAACTTGCCTCACTAGACAAGGTTCTAGCATGAAACATTGCCAAGTTCAGGTTCCAATGGCGGCCTGTCCGGATCCAGAGATTCTTAGCACCCTCTGCTGCGTTGCAGATCTGACCGCCGCCATGGTCAGTCGCTTCGCAGCTGCTGGGGACTGAAGGCCGTGAGTTAATTGACGTATGCATGTGGAAGGTAGTGACTAGATATTGCACCAGGGTGGCCATTCCTTCTCTGGTGAGGGAGTGCGTTACCGGTGGTGGTCACCAGTGAGGCCGCACCCCAGGCCCCTTAATGCAGTTACATCACCACGTGGATTTGTTTTTATCCTGTGGGGAACTGCGCGGCTCCGGGATTCAAACGACGGATCTTTTGCATGCGAGGCGGACCTTAAAAGTGGATACTAGCAAATAGAAGTAAATGAGCGGGACCGAGAAAAGACCGCCTTCGTGACGCCAGACGGGCTTCATGAATTCAAAGTCCTCCCTTTCGGTCTATGCACAGCCCCAGTCACGCTCCAGAGACTAATGGATACCATTTTGTCCCGCATGAAATGGAATGCATGCCTTGTGTACTTCAATGACGTGATTGCTTTTTTCGGCCTCGTTTGAAGAACATCCAAAGCGGCTACTGTCAGTCATTCAAGCCATACGGTCCGCTGGACTCACACTAAAACCAGAAAAATGCCACTTCGGCTTCGAAGAACTCCAGTTCCTAGGACACGTGGTCAGTCGCGAAGGTAGTGAGGCCTGACCCAGATAAAACTGCAGCCAATCGCCAATTTCACAAGGCCTGTTGATAAGAAAGCGGTCAGGTGTTTTCTGGGTCTCTGCGCCTACTACCGACGAGTTATAGGAGACTTTGCCCACGTCGCCTCTCCACTCACCCGCTTTGCAAGGGAAGACGTTGCGTTTGTATGTGGTGAAGATGCAAGAAGCTTCGTTCAACAAGCTGCGACAGCGTTTACAAACTCCACCAATCCTCGCTCACTTCGACGAGGATGCATCAACAGCCATCCATACAAACGCCAGCAATGTAGGCCTAGGTGCTGTTCTTGTCCAATGCCAAGATGGTGTGGAGAAAGTAGTTGCCTACGCTAGCAGAACGTGGACACGCGCCGAGTCCAACTACTCAACAACGGAGAAGGTGTGTCTGGCAGTCGTTTGGGCAGTTTCGAAGTTCCCCCCGTACTTATGTGGCCGCACTTTCCAAGTCGTAAGCGACCATCCATCTCTTTATTGGTTGACTAACATCAAATACCCATCTGAACGTTTAGCTCGATAGAGTTTACGGATCCAAGAGTACTACATGGCCGTAGTTTACAAGTCCGGAAGGCAACACTTAGACGCCGACTGTTTATCAAGGTCACCGATTGAACCACCGGCTACAGAGGATGATTAATTCACAGGTTTTTTAGGAGTTGTTGATGCGGCTATCATTTCTCGGCAACAACAAGATGATCGAGAGCACAAGTCGCTTAAGAATTCTTGAACGGACGAGCCGCCAATGCACCCAGAGTGTTTTTGAAGAACTTATCGCCATTCTGTTTACGGGACGAAATTCTGTGCAAAAAGAATTTCTCGTCAACAGGTAGAAGCTATCTGCTGGTAGTTTCTGAAGCTCTCCACAGCGAAATTTTACAAGCCTGCCATAACGAAGCCACTGCGGGCCACCCCGGTTTCACAAGAACACTGACACGCGTAAAAAAATATTACTGGCCAAGAATCTCAGCAGAGGTGAAACATTTCGTCCGAACATGCATTGACTGTCAGCGGCACGAGGTACATCCTGTCAAACCCGCTGGGCTATTACATTCCTGTGCCCGTGCCAGAAACTCCGTTTTCTCAAATCGGAATAGATCTGCTGGGCCCATTCACAACATCGGACGAGCGGCAACAAATGGGTTATAGTGACGACGTATTACCTTACCCGATACGCGGAGACCAAGGCAATCGCGAGTGGCACAGCAGCTGAAGCGGCCAGTTCTTTATTGAGAACATTATCCTGAGACATGGTGCTCCAGCTGTCGTCATAACAGACAAAGGTACCGCGTTTACAGCCGAGCTTTTGCGCACTGTGCTTACGCTCAGTGGCACAGCGCATAGGAGACGACAGCTTATCACCCACAAACGAATAGGCTTACAGAACGACTTAACAAGACAATCGCTGACATGCTTTGCATGTACGTCGACGTGGAACACAAAAATTGGGACAGAATATTGCCGCACATCATATTCGCGTATGACACGGCGCGCCAGGAAACAACGAAAATGACGCCGTTTGCAATAATTCATGGCAGATAAGTTACTACGATGCTTGACGCCATGCTATCTTATGATTGCAATGATTCAGAGACAGACGCCGCAGACTTCACTGAGCGCGTCGAGGAAGCAAGGCAGCTTAGCCGCGTCAGAATAATCAACCAGCAGCAACTTGACGTCAAACGTACAACCTTCGCCATCGATTCGTCGCTTATCAACCAGGAAATAGAGTCTGGGTTTGGTTTCCTGTACGACGGTGAGGCCTCTCGGAGAAACTCCTACGCCGATACCTTGGACCATACAAGGTTTCGCGCCGTCTTAGCAACGTGACGTACGAAGTCGTGCCCGATGCCTCCTCCTGTTCGAAACGTCGCCAGCATCTGCCTGAGACAGTGCACGTGGTCCGCATGAAACTTTACCACTCTGAGTGATATAAACACCTGCTAATTGCATCTCTACCTGTTGAGAATCGGGACGACGCTCCCTCTGACGGGAGGGTAATGCCACGTGCATAGCTGCGTTTAGCTGCGAGATAGCGACGACAACGAAGATCGCGGATTTGCTCGAGAGGCGCAGCGCAGGCGAGTGAAGAAGGCGACAATCTTAGCGGCCTTCTTTTGAGAGCATCGCTACGAGTTCCACTGTCCGTGTTCCTAAGTAAACCCTCTGTATTTTATAACCCACGACAATATGCGCCTGTTCAACTTATGTCTGCGCGTGTTTTTGAACATACCTCTAACGCAACTTCATAACGTTTTCCTAATTTGAAAACTACTACAGTAAGCTTGCATGCACATGCTTCGCATAACATCGTTTCCCATATGCACGTGAGATCTGCGGAATTTTTTTATTCTAACGTACTAAGTCATATATCATATACCTTTGATATGCTGCAACAAGTAGTGCATAACTGTCGTCCCATGTTTGAAGGCCAAAATGACGTTAGTGCGCCCTTTCCTCTCGCCCCAAGTGTGAAGATGCACACTTGAAAAAAAAGTTAATTTTGAGACATTCTCCACTTCTTCGTTGAGTGAACTGAGTCTAATTCTACTCAAGCAGCATCGTACTATCTGCCATTCCCGAGTAAAAATCTTGCTGAGACATGTAAACTCCTGTTGTATTGAGAACAGATTACGTATACATAATCGGTGGTGCGGTGTCTGTAGCGATGTGTTGAACCCTCGTACCTTTAGCTGCCGATAACCACAGAAGCCAAACTTGGAATCTTGCGCTTTAATGAGAAAGAGCTTTTCTTCTAACATGGCCTATGTATAAAATATAGTTACGGCGTAAATATATAGTTATTATTAATGATATGTAAACATAAGGTTATGACAACAATCTTAAATTTTAGCCACTTATTGCAGGTACACAATGATTTAGAAACGCTAAGATTACCTCTCTTCAGGTTAGAATGTGGATGTATGCCCAGCTACCACTCGTAGTGAGGAGACACGCGGCATACTTAAGCTGACGTTGATTTACGGTACTTCAGTAGGTTAACTCGCCTGTCTCATTCATGTACTTGCTGTTTTCAAAATGCATTTCATGCGAAATCAGTTCATCTGACGGTACTGTAGCAGGCAAAATATTTCCTTGGTGTATATTGCCATCTCACCTTCCTCTACCGAAGCATTCAGGAGGATAGGGTTGCCTCCCCACCCTACTACATGACCAGTGCTGTTGAACGTCACGTCCAGTCTGCCGAGGTACTTCCCGAAACGATAGTCCTGCACAACGAGGGCTTGGCTTCCGTCCGATCTGTTCACAACGTATGGGTAGTCACCTTCGGGCTTATCTTCCTTAGCAGGGGGCTCTCCTGTAGAAATTATTATTATTATTATTATTATTATTATTATTAATAGTAGTAGTACTAAGTTTGGATCAGGCCCCGCCGCGGTGGTCCTGTCACTAAGGTACTCGGATGCTGACCCGTAGGTCGCGAGTCAGATCTATCTATCTATCTATCTATCTATCTATCTATCTATCTATCTATCTATCTATCTATCTATCTATCTATCTATCTATCTATCTATCTATCTATCTATCTATCTATCTATCTATCTATCTATCTATCTATCTATCTATCTATCTATCTATCTATCTATCTATCTATCTATCTATCCGCCTACGACTTTTAGCTCTCTTGGCCGTTTCGATAATGGTATCGATACCAAACTTGGTATGGCATAACATGACTGTATCAAGAACATATTTGACTAGTCATAACATGAAAATCATGGCATGTATGTCATGAATGTCATGATTTATATTTAATGGTGCTGCAGCTCTTGCGGTAGTTTCATTCACATGGCATGTTGCAAAACTGGTACGATATGGCATGATTGCATGGCGAACACAAGCAACAGATCCTAACATGAAAATCATGACATACGTCTCATGTAACAATATGACTACATGCCACGCTCGTGATGCGCTCGCGGCCGTTTGCTAGCGTCACATATACCAAATTTGGTATTACAGTACGTGAAAGGATGATGAAGGTATGTGACTGTGCAAACATGATAATCATGAGATTCGTGTCATGTAACAACATAACTACATGCCACGCTCATTATGCGCTGGTGGCTGTTTGGGTAGCTTCGCATGCACGAAACTCGGTATTACGCGACGCGAACGGACGACATAGGTAAATGACACATCCGGAACATGATAATAACTACATGCGGGTCATGTAACAACATGACTACATGCCACACTCATGATGCGTTCGCGGCCGTTTCGCTAGCTTCACATATGCCACTATTGGTATTAAGTGACGCCAATGGATGACGAATTGATTGATATGTGGGGTTTAACGTCCCAAAACCACTATATGATTATGAGAGACGCCGTAGTGGAGGGCTCCGGAAATTTAGACCACCTGGGGTTCTTTAACGTGCACCCAAATCTGAGCACACGGGCCTACAACATTTCCGCCTCCATCGGAAATGCAGCCGCCGCAGCCGGGATTTGAACCCGCGCCCTGCGGATCAGCAGCCGAGTACCTTAGCCACTAGACCACCGCGGCGGGGCCATGGATGACGAAGGTATTGGCTCATGCAAACATGATAATCATGAGATGCTTGTCATGTGAGAACAAGGGCACATGCCACAGTCAAGGTGTCAATACCTTTCGACGTGACGCGGTGCACGTGCTCACCAGCGTTCATTTCGTCGCGCCTTGCCGGCGTTGTCATGCCAGGCGCTGGTCTTGCCATATACCCCCATGGGCGTGCCGCGCATTGTTGCTGTGACGCATGCGCGTTTCAGCGCGTCCGCCGTCCCTCCGCAACGAAAAGAGGGAGACACAGTTTTGTCTGGGTAACGAATCGGCGCGAAACGCAGCACGTCGCATTTCGCACCGTTTGCCGTCGGACCGCGCCCACGGATGCTTGTGGCACCTGGCGTCAGACTTTAGAGTGTTCGCGTTTTGCTAACGTAGCGTCGCTGTGCCCAGCATGTGCACGAAACGCTACATTGGAGTATATTGGGCCCTTCATCGTGCGCTTGCGGCCGTTTTGCTAGCTCCACATATATCAAAATTGGTGTTATGTGACGTCAGTGGATGACGAAATATATGACTGGTGCATCCTGACAGGCGTGTCATATAATAACATGACAACCTACCACGCTCATGGCGTGCTCGTAGCCATTTCGCTTGCTCCACATATACTAAATTTGGTGTCACGTGACGTGAATAGATGACCAATGTAAACGACACATCTAAACATGATAATCATGACACGGAAATCATGCACGGCATCATTTACCTCCACCTCGTAACGTAGCGCTAATTTTAAAGTGATATATCAACATTTCTCATTCGTGCTTCGCATATCATCGATTCCCACAGTACGTGGGATCTGCCGATGTTTTCTTCTTCGAATGCATGGCTTTTTCACTATGATTACGCGCACACAGATGGACAAGTCATGGCCTCCCGCGACGATCTTTGTAACGACCAAGCGCGCCATGTTCAAATCAGCCAATGTATGATGGCTTTCTGCGAGTGATTTTTGAGCGTCTTCTCTCATTTGTCGAGAGAGGAGAAAGCAATTTTTAGCCGACTAATAGTTTATTGTGAAATACAGGCCATGCGCTGCGCTATAATATATGGCTCGCGTGTTGTCGGGCCTCTACTACTGATCGGAAGTGTTTTGTGACCATGCTAAAAAAGTGCGGCAGAACCCCTTTAAAGAACGCGAGGGGTCGAAATTTCCGGAGCCTTCAATTACAGCGTATCTCATAATCCTATGGTGGTTTTGGGATGTTATGTCCCAGATATAAATTAAGTTTGGATTAGAGTTGGGCAGTATCTTTGCAGGATAAAGCTATCTAGTTACTTTCATCTTGTCGGGCATAAGCTGAAAGGGAAAGGAAGATGTGGTGTCCGGCCAAGCGCTGCAGTAGATCAAGGCGATACTGCGCAAGTATGCGAAACAGATAAACAGTAAGATGTCGCATTCTGTCTGTGACCTATTGTGACCGGGTCACACAGTTAGGAACAAGTGGGAATAAACGTCGCTCGCTCCTCGGAAACTTCTTTCTTCATGAACCCAAGCGTCACACAACAGCTGACGATGAGGGTAGGACTTGAAGCCGTCGTTCTTCAATTAGGAAGGCAAGTGTTTCTGTTATTCGCTCAGTGAAGACCGTCTTTTTGCAGTGCGCAAAACAGGTGACTTTCGTCATGACTGAAGCCCAGGCAGCGGGGACGCACTTCGCCGGGAGACTGGACCAGCTGGAATCTTTCGACGAGTCCACCAGCGATTGGGTTTCGTACGAAGAGTGGCTTACGTCGTTACTGATAGTCAACCATGTTCCCGTCAACGACGAGGTTCACGTGTTTCTGAGCATCATCTATCCCAAAACGTACGGACTGCTGAAGACATTAACAGCTCCAGAACTGCCTTACACGAAGAGTTTCGAAGTCTTCAAGGATGTTTTAAGTGACCGGCTGTCACCGAAGCCGTTTGTTATTGGAGAGCAGGCCAAGGCTCACCGGAGGTGTCAAAGGAAGGTGAATCCTGGCCTGATTGTGTCACCGAGCTTTGTAAACTGTCGCAAACGTGTGAGTTTGGGGGCGCGCTTGAAGAGTCCCTTCGGGACCGCTTCGTGAGTGTTTTTCTACGAGAAGACTTTCAACGAGTGGTTTCATTGTAGATAACAAGCTAACGTACGAGAAAGTGGTGAAGCTGGCTCTGGCCATAGGACCGGCAAAAAAAAAAAAAAAAGCTCTGCTGAAGCACGCGGCAGTGACGTTGCAGTCGGTGATCTGCAAGGTGCAAGCTAAATCCCAGATGTAAAAGCTGCTTTCCCTGCAGTTCACTAATATACAGGAATGAAGCGTATCCTCATGTGGACACAGTGTGCTTAAAAAAAAAAACCTCAATAAAAAAGGACATCCCTTGAGCTTGCTGATGTGATCGTAAGAGTTCATGTAAGGGAAAGGAATGTGAAGATGCTGACGGTTGTGCCACGGGAAGCTTCAACTCTTAGTCGAAATGGCGTGTCAACAGCTGAATTCAACCCAGCCACCATACAGATGACCATCGGCTTGACGATTAACGGCGGTGCTCGGCCGGCCACCACAGAAGAATTTATTGGGCTAAGCCAAGCAAAGGTGCGTCACATGTCGGCCGCACAAAAAAGGCGGTGAGGTTCCCTCCCCCTTCCCTTCACCCCGGTAAGTGCTGTTACGATGCGCGCTGCCGACGAGGTTACGAAGGGCGCCATGGCTACGAAACTCGCCACTGCCAAGGTCAGTGGCTGTTTGGTAGCGTGTGTTTCTCAGCTCGCGACTGCTAGAGCACAGAGCTGATAGACGAGCGGACAAGACGACGGTGAGTTAAGGCAAGGTTTATGTACAGCATAGAAATAGAGGCATTACATATTCGGCACTGGGGCCGACAGCTTAGGGACTCAAAGAGCCGAGATGTTTTTCTCTATGACGCATAGAGCAGCTTCTGTCTGACGCATAGGTCGGCTGCTTGGTGAAGCATCGCGTAGTTCTTTACAGGCCCGAGGTGATCATTACGTTATCAACGACCAATAGAAACTGCCGCCGGGTTGCGTCAAAATCCTCCAATGGGGACCCGCCGCTCAATTGTGTCATGATCGTCGAATTCGGAGCCGCTGCACTGGGTTGCACCCAAGGACGAGTGATGTTGTCACGCATTGCGTAAGACTCACCAGACTGGATGGCGCCGATTGCTTCATCAGGCTGCTATAGGGCCCGTGGGTGGAAGGACCTCACCGTGCGTTGCGTAAGACAGACCGGCGCCGCCACTTGATGACGTCGTTGAGTTGATGGTGGCAGGCGGGCCCGCTCGCTGGTTTTGACACAGATTGTCTTTGCAGAGGCAATGACTTTCGGCGTGGACTCCCAGGCGTAACAGCACTCCCGTGCCAGACAATGCGCCGGAAAGATGAGCTACTTCCCCGAGGCTCGGGTGTCGGGTGCGCTCATTCGCGAGGTCCCTCCAGGTTCATCTACAGGGACAGGCGAAGATGTAGCCAGGCTCAGTTCCGTGAACACATTTCATTCTTGAGGACGGATATCAGCTCCACTGGCTTGTCGCCAAAACTTGTCGACTAGCTTCGCTCGTCTCTTCTGACGATTTTCAGTCTCAGCACTTGTCGATGGTTCTGCAACTTGTCAAGAACGATTCGACAACAGACAACCAACGACACAAGCCAGTGCCTTCGGTTACCCGAAAGAAGACCAGACAAAGTATAGTACAACATGTACCTAGCTACGTGGCTATCGGAATTTTGTTACCTCTACATCAAGAGGCACATGTGGGACACAAGACT